ATATAAGCATAACCAATGGACATAAGACACTGGGGGGTAGGGGAGGCCGGGGGATTGTTAAGGGCGGGAAAAAAAAGGAGACATATGTAATACTCTTTGTAATACTTTAAGCAATAAAACAATTAAAAAAACTGCTTAAAAATAACCTACCAAAAAATAAAATAAATAAATAAATAAAGTGCAGAGATGAACTTTGAGTATTTTAGATTTGAAGGTGGTATAAAGATAGGCTGAGGCAGTCATCCAGACATGGTGAGAAATAGGGGCCTGGAGATACAAAGCAAGACTAGGTCTAGAGAAAACTGGAAATCAGGGAGCAGATACGCTCCCACAGGAAATATGGGTATAGATCTTAGACAAAGGACAGACAAGGGCACAAAGTGGACACATGAGGTGACAGAAACTCAGTAGCTACTAGTAAAAATAAATACCTTAACCCATTTCACAGTAGTTCCCCTCACTGATCAATACTTTTCAAAATCACATTCTCTTCTGCACTATCAATTAAAGCTTCTCCCATCAAACTCTCCAGGGTATCTTTTAAACTTCCAGAGTTCCTATCATTTTCAAATCATTTCTTTCCCATGTCCAAGATCAAACCCAGGGACAGTCAATTCCTCTCTGTTTGCCCTGCCTTCCACATATCCTCCTCAAAGCAAGTGGAGGCAACCAGTAACAATCCTGGGGAGACTGACGACCCCACAATTTGAGGTGGCTGTTAGTTGTTCTCAGAATATAAAATCCAGAGGATAATGTTAGTTGGTATATTCTTAGGGCTTAAGAATCTCCTCTATAAATCTCCTACATCCTAGTCTTGTGCCAGAATTTGAAATCTTCATTATCTAGCATGTGCACTAAAATCATCTAATCCATGCTTGTGGTTGAAGAATGCCGAGGTCAATTAGGGTGGAGCAGATAAAGTAATATTTTGTGGGGTTTTTTTGGCACATGATTCCTAAGCCTGATTCTATCACTGACTTTTTAAGTAGACATTTGAAAAGTCCCTCATCCTTGCTTATTCCCCCACCCCATCCCACTACAAACAATATGTACTGGAAAGGGCTCCCCAAGTAGGCAGACTGCAGTCTAAATCTTAGCTCTGCCAAGATTAAACTGGGGCCATGGACACGTTGGTTGGGGACTTTGAAACGGAAGTTTTGGAAGGCAGCAGACTGTAGAGCTGTCCAACCCAAAAGCCCAACCCACTCCACAGCCAGTGTGTTTCCCCCGGCGAAGGCTGAGAAAGTGAATTAGTAGCCCTGTGTCACACAAGAACAAACCTCTCCCTGGACCCCGCTCAGGCCAGGCCAGAACGTGGATGACATGGAAAACGCCATTTATTGACCTCTAAATCTAATAAGAACTCTGCACAAGTGTCTGAAGACGACTTTGACCTTGATCTTGCTGCTGTGCTCACTGACGTCAGCTTGCTTCTGTTTCCGTAGCCTCTGTCTCTGTTTTCTGAGATGCTAAGAGGATTTCACGTGCCCGTTTCCGCCGAAGCCTCTCAGCATTTGTGATCACCATGGGATGCAGAGGGAAAAAACCAGCAAGGCCTAAAAACAACAGGGTTTGCATTCATTACCACACAGTACAAGCCCATGTTTCCCTGGCCATGCAGCCTCACAGGATTTCGGTCTAACAGCGACCTGACCTAGAGCATGGATTTCAAACATGCTCCTCACTTCTTCCACCTACTCCTGACTGCAAGGAGACAATCGGTGTTATCTCCTTCCTAACACTGTTGTCCTTACCTAAGAAAGATAAACTGACAGCCCTTCAAGACACACAGTTCCCACTTTTAGAATAAAATCTCAGCCTCATAAAGGAGTCCCACCGAAGTCACCAGATTCAAAATGGCAATGCGATCACAAGCCCCTTCACCTCTCACTCGAGCCCCGAGCAGCCCAAGGGTAATGGGAATCATTCTGAATTCTCATCACCCTGTAATCGACTTCAATTTAAAATCTCTCGGTTGGGCTAGAGCCACGTTACCCAGCAGCTTTTCCACGGGTTGGGAGAGGTGGGCCCCGCAGCCGATCCAATGCCGGATCCGCTCCAGGTTGAGCGCCACGAGCTTCTCTCCGTGGGTGTTGGGCAGCGGGTCATAGGAGCCCAGCTGCTCCACGAAGCGGCCATCCCTGGGGAACTTGTTGTGAGCAGCCACGATGCGGTAGAAAGGCCGGTTGGTACAGCCGCCCAGGGCGAGACGGATGGTCAGGCGGCCTCCACGGTAGGCCTTGTGGAGGAGAGCAGCTGTGGAGAAGCAAGTGGTCAAGGCACAAAATGGGCAAAACCAGGTACAGGAGACAATCCTCTTCCTCCAGTGAAAACCCTCACTTCTACTCAACTCGGGGCCACCTGGCTTAGAAAACACCTCCTTTGTGAAACCTTCCCATGCACTCCGGCCAGAGACAACGTCCTCCTCCACCCCCGCCCGCCCAGCACAGCCTGCCTGCCACCGACTGGCTCCGTGACAGGTCGGGCCGCAGCTGCCGCAGCTGCAAGATGCTACTATGTCACACGGCGTCAGGGGGATTCAAGG